AAACTAAGTAAAGCACTATTATCGGGAGAATAAAAAGTGGTGGCTGATGTGCACGCTCTTGGTAGTGGAGTTCTGTCATGGTTCACAAAATTAAAGTGCTCGCATTTATAAATATTAGAAATGGATATAATTATCAATACAAATGTATTATAATGATGTAGTATACCAATTTCAGAACCCCTGTTTATTGGAAAAACCAATGTTTCTATTAGTTATATTTGCCACTTTTCATTCTCCCGACTATAGTAGTGTACCTATTTTTAGATTCTGAGTGAAACGATGAATGTATTGATTTACAATGATGTGTGTTTTTTTTTTTATTTTTTTTTTTTTTTTTTTTTTATTTTTTTTTTATTTTATTTTTTATTTTATTTTTTATTTTTTTTGTGTCTGTGTACACGATAAGTAGTCGAAATAATGCTTCGATTTTCGACTTCAGTATCTTGTTCGATTGGAAAGTGAATATCGTTGGTGCATTGGGGAGGTCAAAATTTAAATTTCCCAGTAGTTTTCAAGAGCGCCGGGAAAAACAAAAGAAAATTAAGGAAAACGGGAATTTTTACGCAAAATCGATTTTTCAGAAAATTGAATTTGGTTTTTGGTGTAACATTAAAACAAATGACCGTAGGTACATGCAATTTTCACTGGTTGTTTATATTTGCATCTTCTATACACGATAACATTTTCAAAATTTTTGATTTATTTTGAACAGTTTAGGGACATTTTCATTTTTAGTTTTTTTTTAGTTTTTTTTCTAGAAATATCAATAAAATTTTATTTGTTGGTTGCGAAAGCTTGAAAATTTAATAGAAGGCTCCTAATATATTGTTTCAAGGGCAGATGAAAAATATTAAAAATCCTTAGTCACAATTTTTTTTTATAAGCATTTAAAGTTCAAAAATTGACAAAATATGGAAAAATCACGAAAATTAGCAAATTATTTTGAGTTAAGAATTCGTAAAAATTTTTCTTTTAAATCTAAGATTTGAAAATCTAATACAAGATTACTCATAAGATTGTCTACCTTTATCAATAAAAAAATCTCTACCGGAAAGTCAAATTAAATTTTTATGAGCGTTTGAAATTCAAATTTTTACAACATTGGATATTCACTCGATTTCTCATGTGGCAATTTCCTTTTTTTGTTGTAATTAAAAAACGAATTACTGTAGATACATGAAAATTTCACTGAATGTTTATATTAGCATTTTCTATACACCATACAATTTTGAAAATATTTTGACTCTTTTTGAGCCGTTTACGGACATTTTCAGTTTTCAATTTTTTTAGTTTTTTTTTTCTATAAATATTAATTAAGTTTTATCTGTTGGGCCAAAAAGTGTAAAAATTTAATACAAGGCTCCTGATATATTGTTACAATATCAGTTGAAAAATATTAAAAATACATAGGCACAATTTTTTTTTATAAGCATTTTAACATCGAATTTTGACAGAATTTTTCAAAATCTCGAAAATTATTAATCATCGTAATTAATAAATTATAAAATGTTCAGTTTTTATAGCTAAGGATTGAAATTTAAAACAAGATTTCACGTAAGTAGTTAATTCTCTTACCGAAAAATCTAAAAAATATACAATCAAAGTTTATTTTTATAGTCATTTTATGTTCAAATTTTGACGAAATTACATATTAAAAAACCTAGTTATTTTGTTGTGATTATATAATATTATTCGTGGGTACCTACTTGAAACTTCTAAAGTGTACTATTATATATATATGATAGTATCAGGGTTTGTTGTTGGTGTATAACGTGTTATTAGTACCTAATGGATATTGTGATAATGTGATATGATTAATTTGGAATTTATTATAGGTCAATTTTTTTTTAATACCATAGATATGTATATAATTGTCTTAACCTGTAATATGATGATATTTAAACTGAATGATCCCATTATCTTTTATTGATTATGATCCATACAAAAAGTGTATATATAATAAAAACTAAACAGCATGCTGAGACACAAGTGATAAAAAAGAAGAATATTTGAATACAAATTAATATACTTTAAAATGTATTTCTCCTATTAAAAATAAAAATAATTAAGTAACTTAAATTATAATAAGTTACAATATATTTTTTGTAATGATAATTTCAAAATAGTAAAATCATAAATTTAACTTATTAAAAGATCGCATATTTGGTATTTTAATACAACTGAACTTAAATTATTGTTATAAAAGAAACTCTTGTAGGGTATAAAACTAAAATAGTTTTAAAGAATTTAATATATAAAAAAAAATTTCCACATTTTAAATTTATTTAAGTATATAACTGAATTTCCTTTAAACACATTATATTCAAATTAAAAACTATTATAGTTAAATAAACAGCAAGCAAAGATAGTTTAACACCTCTGCTTAATAAATAGAGCCGACACCAATAAAATAAAATATTATTTATAAAATAAACCTCAAGATCATTAATTGAAAAAGTACATTTTATAAAGTATTAGAACACCTAAAAAATATGAAAATATAGAATAAATTATATCAAAACTGTTTTACCAATTAACCAATGTGTGACCATTTCTTAATTTCTTATTTTAACTTTTAGTGAGACTAAAATTATATATTACATGTATTATTGTATAAGTTGTTACAGTGGGTGATCAATACTCAATTGTACATCAATTTATAATTACAATATGAGAAATACATATCATAAATAAGAATTCATATATTACCAAAGAAAAATGTATTTAATAATTATTAAACATAATTACCTTAACGTCTGTAACCATAGTTGACTTCTTTACAGGAACGTGAGAAGTGTCCTACTCGATTACAAGAGTAGCATCTAAGTGAATCACGATAGCAGTTGTTTCTTGATGACCTACGACTGAGTCCACGCGTTTTTGCAAAACTTACAGTTAAGAAGCTCCCATACAATTCCCTATATACAAACACATTGGATGTAAAATTAACTAGTTACATAGAAAAAAATTCACAATAATATGTTATACATACTAATTATTTATAAGTTATTATTAAGAACATATTTAAGTAATTTTTACAACATAGGTATACTTTTAAACTCACTAAAACCAGTAATAAGTGGCGTCCCCACCGCCCGATGCATCTTAAGAATGCATCGCATATAGCCTACCCTGACCTTAATTGGTTGGGGTAGTCTGGTCCTCCAGGTTGGGGGTTTCTCGTAGGGCTAACCACCCTACAGTGTCAAAAAAACCTGGTTACAAAACAACTACAAGTATGCCTCGGATGAAAAATATGGAGCTTAAGGATTTTACAACTGGAACCTGGAACGTACGAACATTATATAAACCTGGAAATTTGACGACAGCGATATTGGAACTTGAACGATATCGGCTGGACATTATTGCCATTCAAGAAGTAAGGTGGACGGGAGAAGGAAGCCTAAAAACTGGAAATTGGACGGTGTTCCATAGTGGTGGCGATGAACACCAGGGTGGTGTTGGTTTCATTGTGAATGACAAAATATTACATAGAGTTAAGAAGTTTAAGGCAGTGAATGACAGAATTTGTCATATGGAGCTGGAGTGCCGATGGTTTAACGTGATACTAATTAACGGATACGCCCCAACTGAAGACAAAGAAGATGAAATCAAAGATAATTTTTACAAAAATTTGGAAAATGAGTGCGACCGGATACCGACTAACAAGGTAAAAATCTTATTGGGAGATTTTAACGCAAAAATAGGGCAGGAAGTAGCGTATAGACCAACAATTGGGAAGGAGAGCCTGCATAGAACATCAAATGATAATGGCACAAGATTAGTTAATTTTGCTACAACCAGAAACATGATAATAAGTAGCGCCACATTCCCACATAAGGATATACACAAGGAAACCTGGGTATCACCATCAGGACAAATAAAAAACCAAATAGACCATATTGTAGTGCAGGGATTCTCAAACTGTGGTACGCGTACCCCTTGGGGGTACTCAAAATTTTTTAAGGAGTACAAGTCTGGCCAACAGACCTTTAAATTAAAATAGAGAGAAAAATTCTAAAATCCAAGGTAACATTTGTGAATTTTAAATTAAAATGGCGTATCTAACTGTTTCATTCGTCATTGATTGAGTAAGCGTGGCTATCGTTATACCAAGTAGAGTAGGAGACAGTAGAATACCTATATAATTATAAAAACGCGACGTTAAGCTAGGTGTCATGCGCGTGGCGCGTCTACGCTCGGACATAAAATCTTGCGTGCGACACGCGTGTGTTTTTTGTATTTTTATATATATATTTTTGTTTAGTAACTAAGAAGGGGTACCCAAAAAAATGTATTGATAAAAAGGGGTACAGTGTTTATAAAAGTTTGAGAATCCCTGTTGTAGTGGACAGACGTTTCAAGAGATGCGTCATGGATGTCCGGAGCATGAGAGGTAGCAGCGCAATGTCCGATCATTTTATAGTAAGAGCAAAAATCAAGTTACGTCTGTCAGTTGAATGGAGAAAAAAGAACGTCTCTATCAAAAGGTTTAACATAGAAGACCTAAAAAACCAAGAAATCAATAGACAGTACAAGAACAAACTAAAAGAGACCTTGAGTCTGACGGAGAATTCAAATAACGTAGATAATCTATGGAATGAGATTGAAAATTCGATTAAAACGGTGGCCACAGAAGTCCTAGGATTTGAAGAAAGAAAAAGGGGGAAAAAATGGTTTGATGAACAATGTATAAGAGCGAATAATGAAAGAGATATTGCCCGAAAAAAATGCTAAAAGACCCAAGTGAGGAAAATAAGAGAGTACTATCGTCTATCGACTAGACAAAGGGAAACTAAACAATTGTTTAGAAAAAAGAAAAGAGCATGGGAAAATTCTAGACTTGAAATAATAGAAAACAGCTATAAAAACAATGTAAGACTTTTTTTTGAAAAGTCGAATGAAATTAAGAATGGATTTAAGACAAAAGCAACAATTATAAAGGATGAAGGAGGATTACTAATAACAGATAAAAAAAGGCTGCAAACGAGTTCAGGAACATGTTTGAAACAATGCTGAACCAACCTACTCAAGTAGAATTGGAAGAAAACCTCAATACGGTTGAACAGAGATTAGACGAACCCACGTTAGAAGAAGTAGAAAGGGCAGTAAATATGTTGAAAAATAGGAAGGCACCAGGGGAAGACGCAATTGTTGCAGAACTACTGAAAGAAGGAGGAAAAGAACTAATGACACGACTGAAAAGACTAGTAGATAATATATGGAAACAATAAGAAATACCAGTAACATGGCATATGTCAGTCCTATGCCCGGTTCACAAGAAAGGAGACGCTATGGTTTGCCAGAATTACAGAGGAATATCCTTACTAAACACCTGTTACAAATTAGTTTCGAACATCATACTAAACCGTATCAAGCCATACACAAGGGAAATAATAGGGGAATATCAGGCAGGTTTTATGTCAGGGAAATCTACAGTGGATCAAATTCATACAATAAAACAAATAGTAGAGAAAAGTCACGAGTTCGACATAGATGTGCACCTACTATTTATGGATTTCAAACAGGCGTATGACTCCGTAAATCGAGGTAGATTATGGAAAGCAATGACCCAACTCGGAATCCCTACAAAATTGGTGAGATTGGTTAAGACATGTGTGCAAAAGTCCAAGTGTATAGTTAAGTTCAACGGACAAATATCTGAAGATTTCTCAGTTGAAACAGGTCTTAGACAAGGAGATGCGTTATCCCCCACATTATTTAACATAGCCTTAGAATCGGTAGTGAGAGAAGTACTTGATGATGTCACGGGCCTAAGAATTGGAGGAGGACACCAAATCACACTAGCTGCGTATGCTGATGACATAATAATTATTGGAGAAACCGAAGAGGACCTAAAACGGTCGGCAGAAAAACTAATAAGTAAGGGAAAAGAGATTGGACTACAAGTTAATGAAGGAAAAACGAAATACTTAATAGTATCACGTAGAGAACAAGTAAAAAATTCGTTAGTAGTCGGTGGATGTACCTTCGAAAGGGTAACAAACTTTAAATACCTGGGAGTAGATGTTAACCAACAAGCAAACAGCCATGATGAGATTAAAAGAAGAATAACTGCAGGATATAAGAGCTATTATTAAGACCTATATTTAAATCAAGATTAATCTCCAAAAATACAAAAATAAGACTATATAAAGTACTCATTAGACCTATAGTATTGTATGCTTGTGGAGCATGGGCATCAACAAAGTCGGACGAGAAAAGATTACGACTATTTGAAAGGAAAATACTGCGGAGAATTTATGGACCCAAAAGAAACGAGGAAAATTTATATGAACGAAGAACTAATGCAGAACTAAGGGCAATGTTCAACGAGCCAAACATAGTGGGAATACTTAAAAGCAGACGAATAAGCTGGGCCGGGCATGTATGGAGAGCGGAGGGCCAAACAGTACATGATGTCACAATGTGGAAACCAAATAAGAAACGACTAATAGGGAGGCCAAGACAGCGATGGACAGACCGAGTTAAAGAAGACCTCAAGCTCCTGGGGATTAGAGAGGGAGAACAACTGGCGAAGAACAGAGAATTGTGGAGAGGTGTAGTAGAAGCGGTGATGGACCTTCAAGGCCCGGAATAAGCCAAAAAAAAAAAAAACCAGTAATAAATCTTTTTTTTTTATTATTTTTAAAGCACCATAGCTAATTATTTTCATTGAAATGGGATATGTTCAGTTTTTTTTAAAAAAATGTTTATCTTTATTATCATGCAAAATTCTATAGAAAAATATGTTCAAATTCTATTAATAAATATTTGCTACAACTTATTAATACATTATATTATAGTAGTTAAAGAATATGTACAAATAATTAGTTTGCAGGAAATTAATTAAGTATAACATAGACTCTATATTTAACTAATTAATATTTACAACTTAATAATATGATTGTAAGTGCTATACTTATTGTTAAGAAAATATACTAAACTTTAGTATAATTGATAGTCATTTTATTTTCAATATTTAAGTTTATATTAATTACCTATCATCAAAGATTAAAAAATAATCTGTATTCACCCAACAGTTTTCTTCCACATTTTCTTTTCAAAGTTCCAGATTATTATTTGTATTATTAAATTTAAGCTAAGCTTAAACTGTATATATTTTAATCAGTGTTAGAATTATACTATACACGGGTACTAATGTTACTTTTTATTTTATTATAATACTCTATCCAACGTAAAAATTGACCTGGACGAATGACTTATACACATGGCACATGCCATCGTTTTGTGTATTGGTTACAGGTGGTTTATTGTAGTGGAAACAGTTGTGTGTGACCTGCGCATCACCAACTAGAACCGGTAGCTTCTTATGTTGAATAGAGTATATGAGTTATATTAGTAATAATTGACTAAAAAATTGTGCAAATTATGACAACACTTTTGAGTCCGTAAAAGAAATTGAAATAAATGATCTCACGCTAAGCGAAACATTTTCAGCATTGGAGTCAATAATGCTTTTGTATGGACTATCTGAGACACATAACCTAATTCTTAATATTAATAAGGATAAAACATTTGGTAGACAAAAAAAAATGTTTAAGGGCAATGAAAAAAACACCTAATTACCTATTGTTTTAAAATTTTAAATAATTTTTTTTATAATTGTTTGATTTATGCTACACACCAGTTCCAATTAATACACATAATTGCTGCTCCACTATACTCAAAAGTATACCCTAGAGAGCCACATTAATAAATTGTTGTCTACGTCTTACAAGTGTGTAACTTAACAAATTTACGTTCAGAATTTCATATTTAGCTTTGCTAGCTTAAAAATTAGAGTGAATCGACCAAATATGAAACTTGGTAAGAACATTATCCGTGTACGCATGTTTGTTTTTTTTATGGTATTTCAAATTTTTAGCAAATTGAGCATTTATATATAAGCAACTTGCTTAAAAAAAATAACTATTGTAAAAACCAACATACTTATGCAGTTAATGTTCTTACTATTAAGTTTCATAAAAGATCAATTTACTCTTAACAAAGCTAAACTTGAACTGCTGACCATACATTTTATATTTAAGCACTTGTATAACGAAAACAACAAATGACGATGTAGCATCCTCTTAATGAATATTTTATACCATCTTTTTGGTGTTTAAGAACTGAAAAATCATGTAGTTTATTTTATACAGTTATTATTATAGATAATTGTAGGTACTTAAGATTATTAAAAATTAATTGAATGTAAAGAAATATATTAATTATTGAATATTATTTTCTAAAACTTACATTCCATTAGTACGTTTTTGTGCTTCAGCAGCATCTTTATCTCTTTTGTACACAACAAAAGCAAAACTTGGTCTGGTTCTTGACATCCATACTTCAAGTAGTGTACCATATCGTTCAAACTCTTTTTCAATATCACGTCTTGTTATGCTGCTTCCTAATTCAGTGAATAAATACATCATCAGTAATTAACTGAAATATACAATAATATATTTCATTATCTAATAAATGGATGATATAAAAAGGGTGAACTATGAAGCAAAAATATTTAATAATTGTTTTTACTAAGACTATTTACTTTATAATAACAAAAAATTTAAATAGCCTTAAATAGTCACGTCAAATTGAGCTATAGGTAGTTTAAGTACTAACCGATGTCTCTGACATGGAGCCTGTGTTTATCGACCGGCGTCTTGCTCCTGCTGCGACTGCGGCTGCGACTTGATCCCGAACGGCTTCTAGAATAGCTGCGTGATGTCCTACGGCTGCGCGAACGGCTGCGACTTCTGCTCTTAGAGCGACTACGGCTCTTGCTTCTCGACATGGTGCACTGCAGTACATAAATCACATTATTAAATGACAGCATAATTTGGTTTAATTGGTTGATGTGGTCAACATTTATCATAATATCATCTACACTAAACGCTAAAACGTACACTTACGTCTCACTAAACTCAGTTATGCGTCTCCTACCACACATGAACTTAAATTGTATTGATGGGCAACGTTTTGAAACGTAATTCATAAAGTTAAAAACTCACTAAATGGAAAGATACGAAAATTAATAGAAAAATGTAGATAAACAAAAAAAGCCGATTGAAATATTGTGCAATGTGAAAATTCTATCAGGAAGGTACAATTGTGGCAAATGTGAAAACATCCATTCCTCCAATGTAAGCCGCGGAGACCGCTGAGTGCAGACGCATCAATTAAATAGGAATTATGGATACATATTGTAATCAAACAATAATGAATTGTCATGGAAAAGCAAAACGATACACACCTAACCTAACCTAACAGTGGTAAATGATTCATTTTCGGCCATACTTCATAAATTTTTATACCCGATCTTTGGTATTCAGTGGTATGAACCACACAACAGTAATACCAAATGGAAAATTCATATTTCATATGGCGGGGCTTCGTTTCTATAATTGCTGTGAATCGTAAAAAATAATAATGTAATGAGAATTTAACACAGATATATAAAAATTTTTATATATCTGTGGAATTTAATTAATTAATTGACAGTCCACTATCCACGTATTATTATATTATATATTAAAATATAGATTGTCAATTTATGCTAAAAATCACAAACATAATTGTCGATTGTTTATATAATAGGAATTGTTGTAATTGACGTAATGTAGTCATGGAGTCATTTGGGGGGGGGGTGTACATTTGCACCAACTTTTTTTTAAAACGCCTTATTTGGCCACAATAAATAAAAGCGCCGATATACCTAAATGTTTTATATTATATATATTTTATATTTTTTCAGTATTAGAAAAAAAAAGGTGCCCTGCTGTACAGTAGGTTACATGCATAGCCGTCCCAAGGGGGGGGGGGGCAAATGGGGCAAGTGCCCTAGGGCGTCTAAAGTATTATGAATTTAGGGGGCGTACTAGAAATGGATGATAAAAAGAAAAATTTGGTGTTCTTATTTTAGGTATTATTTTTTTGTTTATACTGTAATATCAAAGATGAGTATCTATCAAATTGTATACTATTAAGTAGGTATACAATTATGTAAATAATGTGTTAAATCTTAATGCGACATAACTTCAATAATAATATATTGAATATTCATAAAAACAAATAAAAATATTAATACTTATAATTTATAAGATTATTAAGATTACAATAGTAATTTATTTAAGCACATGAAATATATTTTAAATATGTATATACATCATTAAAATAATTAAGTAATATACTGTATACTATATTGTAATATACTTATAAACTAAACTAATTCATATCTTTGGTACCTAGTAGTACCTTTTTTTATTTTTGTGTCTGTCATCACGTTTTAGGACAGTAAAAGTGCTTGGATTTTCTTCAACAGTATCTTTTCTTATAGGAAAGTGAATCTAGTTGGTACTTTGGGGGTGGGGGGGTCAACATTTCCCAGTAGTTTTCACAAGCACCGGGAAAAACAACATAAAAATTAAGGAAAAACGGGAATTTTTACGCAAAATCTGTTTTCCAAAAAATCGATTTTGATTTTTGGTGTAACTCTAAAAGAAATGAACGTATATACAAGAAATTTTCACTGGTTGTTTATATTTACATTTTGTATACACGATAACATTTTCAAAATATTTTGATTAATTTTGAACTGTTTAGGGACATTTTCATTTTCCATTTTTTTTTAGTTTTTTTTTTAAAAAATATCAATAAAATTGTATTTGTTGGTTAAAAAAGCTTGAAAATTAAATAGAGGGCTATTAGTATATTGTTTCAAAGGCAAATGAAAAATATTAAAAATCCTTAGTCACAATTATTTTTATAAGCATTTAATATTCAAAAATTGACAAAATATGGAAAAATCACGAAAATTAGCAAATTATTTTGAGTTAAGAATTCGTAAAAATTTTTCTTTTTAAATCTAAGATTTGAAAATGTAATACAAGATTCCTTATAAGATTATCTACCTTTATCAAAAAAAAAAAATGTCTATAAGAAAGTCAAATTAAATTTTTATGAGCGTTCGAAATCCGTAATATTTAAGTATAAACGAACAATTTCAAAATGTTTTAACTTAATGGATTTTTTTAAATCAACTGAGAAAAGCTAAGTTATTTCAATTGTAAATTAAACTATTTAAGTTCATAAGTTGATTAGAAGATAAACTAACTAGTTAAGTTAAAAAGTTAAAAAAATTAACTTTTTAACTGAACTTTAACTTTTCAACTAGTTAATGCCCACCTTTGAATTTTATAATCACTTATATTCACTTGTGCAATTTACAATGTTGATTGTTATACTACACTGTTATTACACACGCAGAAACGCAGAATGTATGATTTATAATGAAATCTAGGTACTAATTTGTGAAAATAGTTATATATATTTTCTTTCTGTAATGTTTGAGTGTTCCCAGAATAATGAAATCGGTGTTCAAATATAAACAAAATAAATATGATCCCAATAATAATATTTAAAAAAATAAGTAGGAACCTTTAATTAATAAGTATTAAACATATTTAAGGTATGTGGTTAATTATAAGCTAAAAATGCGAAGTCGAGATTTTTTGGTGGGAGGGTGAGGGGCGTCAAATATTGTTGCCCTAGGGCGTTATTGGTGGTTAGAGCGGCACTGGTTACATGTGGGTCACTGTATAATGGACGATATTAAATTTGAATTCAATGATATAATATCATTGTATACATATTATATATAAGAAAAACGATTCTGAGTGAAGACGGTATGTCAGTCTAGGTATAGGTAAGACATATTATATACTTATCTATGGTATTAAAAAAAATTGACCTATAATAGGTACCTATAATAAATTACAAATTAATCATATCACAATATCCATAAGGTACTTATAACGCGTTATACATCAACAAAGTTTTCTTTTAAGTTTATATTATTATTATATATTTTTTTGGCATAAATCTAGTTTAGGAAAATCCATTTTTTCAATTTTTTTTATCGAAACTTATGTATCTCATCGAGTTAAGAACGATGGTGCAATCAGAATTTGTCGCTCTCATTTAGTTCCGAAGTTATGGCCTTCCAAAGTTTTCGATTTTACGTTTATACGCATGCGCGCAACACTACTATAATGACGCGCGGAGAACCATTTTTGTTATTTTTTGGTACATATACGTATTCGGTATACCTTTTTTTTTTGAAACTTATGTAGTTATGTATTATGTACCCTGTGACATACTTGAGGTGGTGTTGCATAGCAAGTCGGGGGATATTTTCGATTTGCGGAGCGGAGCGACGGCGCCGAGGAGCGTAGCGACGAGTGCCGATACACGCGTAATGACTGCTCAATGCTCATATACTACGACATAACTTTTCCTGTAACCTACTTAAGGTGGTGTTAATGACTTACGCGTAATGACTTTGAATTGCCATAACTTTTGAACGGTAAGTTTCCGGAAATTTGTCCGAGCGTAGCGCATTAATATACAGCAATTATAATTTGAAAAATACGTAAGATAAGATAAAAATTATTAAATGTTTATAAAATATACATAGAAAAACCCATGTATTAATCGGGATACGTAGATAAAAGTTAGGTAAGTCTATACGCGCCTGCTGAAAGGTTAAATAACAAAAATGGTCCTCTGCGCGTCATTATAGTAGTGTTGCGCGCATGCGTATATAAACGTAAAATCGAAAACTTTGGAAGGCCATAACTTCGGAACTAAATGAGAGCGACCAATTCTGATTGCACCATCGTTCTTAACTCGATGAGATACATAACTTTCGATAAAAAAAAATTGAAAAAATCGCTTGGCCCCTAAACTAGATTTGTTCCCAAATTTGAATTTAATATGTCTGTAAAAAATAACTGTGTTCATATATTTTTTAGATTTTTTGGTTACAGTATGAACTATTTATGAGAACCTTTGTGTTGAATTTGCAATCCTTAGCTATAAAAACTGAACATTTTATAATTCATTAATTACAATGATTGATAATTTTCGAGATTTTGATAAATTTTGTCAAAATTCGATCTTTAAATGCTTATAAAAAAAAGCATTTTTCATCAGGAGCCTTGTATTAAATTTTTACACTTTTTGGCCCAACAGATAAAACTTTATTGATATTTATAGAAAAAAAACTAAAAAAATTGAAAACTGAAAATTTCCGTAAACAGCTCAAAAAGAGTCAAAATATTTTCAAAATTCTATGATGTATAGGAAATGCTAATATAAACATTCAGTGAAATGTTAGTTCAGTAAATGTTCATGTATTTACAGTCATTCGTTTTTTAATTAAAACAAAATAAGGAAATCGTTACATGAGAATTTGAGTGAATATCCAATGTTGTAAAAATTTGAATTTCAAACGCTTATAAAAATTTAGTTTGACTTTCTTATAGACATATTTTTTTTGATAAAGGCTGATAATCTTATAAGGAATCTTGTATTATATTTTAAAACCATAGATTTAAAAATAAATATTTTACGAACTCTAAACTCAAAATAATCTGCTAATTTTGGTGATTTTTTCCATATTTTGTCAATTTTTGAACTTTAAATGCATATAAAAAAAAAACTGTGACTAAGGATTTTTAATAGTTTTCATCTGCAGGTACTCTTCCAATATGCTATTTACCGTAAATATTTTATCTACCGTAATATTATGATAGTTTAGTATGATATCTACCGTATGACCGTATGCTGTATATTATGTATACCTACTTTATCATTTTGCAATTAAGATTTAATATTAAGCTTTTATTGAAACCCCAAATTATATAATATTTATAACTTAGTAAGTTAGGTAGGTTAGTAGGTATATCTTTATATTATACCTGGTTAGTGTGTGTTTGTGAGTCGTGTCGATTATACCTATACGTGGTTTTACTGTGATCAACTATAGTTGACTGGTATAATTTATGTCGAGACGTAGCAGTAGCTGAATTTCAAAAACGTAAAAATATGGGAGGTCCTGGCCTAGTTGTACAAAAAGATGAATCCTTGTTCCAAGGTAAAAGGAAATAT